AAAATAGTATATTCTTATATAATAATAATATATTATTTTATGTAAAATTGTATAATAATTTTCTTGTGAAAGAATCCAAATTAAATTTGTTCACGAAAAGAACGATTTTGTTGAAGTTCATGAAAATTTAGCTGTATACAGATCTAAAAATAATTATGTTAGACTATTAAAATAATTATGCAGTACATCCAAGTTATCATCCAAGCTAGAATGTCAAAAGTTTTTATAGCATTATTTGTCACGTTTGAATTTCCTACATAATTATTTTAATAGTTCAGCAGAATTATTTTTAGATCTGTTTACTAGAGTCTATTCGAAACTACTTTTCTGCTTTCGACCGAAACCGAAAATAAATATACGATTTTTATTCAATTTCGGCTAAAATTCCGTTACTGAAATTTTTGGATAAATCTTACAAACATCATATAATTTCCAGAAAATCATTGAATATTAAGCTATGTAAAATTTATGTATTCTTTTAAAAATTAGATGTGATTAATCTTATTATTCCTTAAATTATAAAGAATTTCAGGCATTATACATGGTAGCAATTTGGCGAATAAAAAAGGATAAAGAAAAAAGAGACAGCGCCGGCGTACTTTATAACAATTGACGCCGATTAGTCGACGATAACCTTATTGAAAAAAATCACGTCACAAAATTACATAACGAAATCATATAATTAAGATAAATAAATCACGTAACGAATTATTTCAAACCAGTACGTGATTTTTTTAGATTACGTAATTTGATAAGGCACATAATGTTTTTTTTCTTCTATTTCTATCATTCAATTCTTTAAAATTCGATAACTATAAAATCACATAATGGATGGAATTATAATAGTTTTAATATCATTTATTTAAAATCTAAAATTATGTAATTTAAAAAAATCACGTACTGATTTGAAACAATCCGATATGCAATTTACTTATCCTGATTACATGATTTCGTATGTAACTCTGTGATTTTTTTTTCAGTACGGAACATACGTTTTTCGAATACTCACCGGCGCGATGCAATTTGTACAGTTTCGATTTACTTATCGAAATTTTCTCTTAATTTCAACCGAAACTGACCGAAACTGAAACCCAAATTTCGGTCGGACTCTACTGACTACCTAAATTTTTAGATACTTCAAAAATAATTCTTTTTGTATTAAAGTAGTAGTTTCCAAGGCAATATCTGCGCGTTAATAGCAAATTCGATTTGATGTATTCAGCGGATATTGATGCACATTAAAGATCATACAGATTGACATAAAATCGTGTGTTTAATATAGAAATATTGGGTGGTCCGGAAAGTCCGTGCGGATTTTACAATGAAAAATTGTATATACGATACCTTCGTCAAAAATGAACGAAATTTAAATTTAAAAAAAGGGTTTTAAAGCTTGAAATCTCTACTTTTAAAAGCTTATCACATTTTTTAAGTTTATATGAGTTTGATAATTTTTACATACCAAAAACTACGAGCTGAAAAAGATAAAAAATTTTCTTTTCACTTTGGGGGTCTCTCACGTGCCCAAAAAAAATTTACGAAAATTTTCGACTACCCATCGTAAAAACTTAAAGCTTTCCCTACAAAATCATTTTTTAAAAATGTTCCTATAATTTTTTGTTTCTGAGTTATTCGCGAGTTAAGTAAAGAAGCATTCTGATTTCGATTGCTCATAACTCCGATAAAAATCATCATATCGCAATTTAAAAAACAGATTCTTAAAGCTGAAACTTTGCTCTAGCGAATGATATAATCGTAACGAAAATTTCGCAACAAATAAAAAAACTTTTGAAAAATCAATGAAAAAATCCGCACGGACTTCCGGACCACCCAATAGATCAAACCACCAAATATTCAATACATTTTATTGTATTGTTAGGAAAAAAGTGTATTAAAAATCAATAAGTAATAACGATTGCAATAATTAAACAAAATTGAACAATACAATATAAGGCTAAGAATCAACTCAAGATAATGTATGAATAACAATATTATGTAAACAATCAAAAAACGTACAGACGTTTCGACCTCTATCGGATTCTTCTCAATGTTAAAAAAATAAATTTAAATGTTACCGGTAACTGCGCAAGACTGTTCAATATATAAAAAGCACATGTATATTTGTTGGAAAGAATAATTATGGCAAGATACGGCCTAGATTTAATCAGCTTTTTATCGGAACTTGCTGTTAGTCTATTTCAGAAGTCACATAATAATCGTATGAAGTCTATAATATTGTAAGCTTCCTCTCAAATTTACAATAGGTTGGTACAATGAAATTAATGTAATTCCGATAGAGGTCGAAACGTCTGTACGTTTTTAAACAATTTTTGCTTATAATAATATTATTACTCACACATTATTGAGTTGATTCTAAGCCCTATATTATACTGCTTAAAAATGTGTATTTTATGATTTGAAATATTTGCATTTAATTTTTTACACCCAAACAAAATTCGTATATAACGGTTTTAACATGCAACAGTGCGTATTAGTGCGTCTAACCGAATTCGCTGGAAAACACCGTTCTGTACATATAAAATTAATTTTCCGTGTGTTTGCCTGTTGTGATATCAAGCGAAAAGGGCAGGAACAGTGCTATAACTAGGTAAGCGAGAGCCCAGCGTATACGCGTATATATATATATATATATACCTTGGTCAAACAACTCAGAACACCCTGTGTATGCGATATTATTGATTTCCGAGTCATCCTAGATAATTATTTTCTTTCGCAACATACCTTGTAATTTACACAAAAGTAGCACGTGCTCGTCAGGAGCCCGCACACGTCGTGGAATATCGCGCAAGTCGGATCGTTATGAAAAAATACACGTGTATTTTTTCATCGCAGGCACAAAGTCTCGCATTCTCATTCATTTAGCGTGTCATTTAGCACCGAACGCGTGGCCGACCGGTCCTAATTACTTATCGTTTGTTCAATAGAGAGATCGCCGACACATCGTGCGATCGAAAGCCCGAAACTTTCGTTTGAAAAAAATACGCGCACCAAATGACGTGAAATCATTTTCGTGCGTTAAGTATTTAAACTCGTGAAGAACCGTTTATTAGCATATATATGAAGTGATTAATTAAATCTTCGACAGAATAATCCTAACGAAATTTCCGACTACATAATTCGTCGCCCTTTATTTCCGTTTTCACCAATGCAAATTAACTTTAATTTCGATTCAGCTTGCCTTTCATCATTTTCCTATTTTTAACACCAGAAAAAAATAAAAAATAAGTTGAATTGAGATCAAAGTTAATCATTGATGGAAACCGGCATTAATCCTTTTTTTTTTCATATGTCAAATGATAAAGAATTAATAATTAGCTTCGAGTTAACAAACAAGTGCTGATATTCACCTTCCTTTTTTCTTTCTAATTCATAAAACTAAAAAAAGATAAAAAACAAATTCAACGGAGATTAAAGTTAATCTATTACCTTGATGAAAATAAATGTTAATAAATTTTTTTTCATGTCAAATAATGAACAACTAACAATTCCATCCGTATTAATAGAATTTAACAGACAGATCTTGATGACAAATTAATTGAAGCTCGATCGAAATCACTCCTAAAGTAACAGCACACGATTAAATATTAATGCAGATTAATAACGAATATTAATAATTAACCTTTACTTCTCGAAAGTGGAACGATGAAAAGCAAAAAAAAAAAAAAAACAGTAATCGAAGAGGAAAAGCGTCGACTTCAAAAAGTCAAACGTATACCACCCGCCAAAAGGACACCCACGTTCTTTACTTGTGAAGTAGATGGAAGGGTTCGCTCCAATCGTCTTCGTTTCACTTAAAATAGATACGTTCTCCGGTTTTGGTATATACTTCAACTTGAACAGCTCGGCGCGATCTAAAAGCGGCATTCCAAGAGCAACATCCCGACGATAACGGATAACATACACGAACGGAGATGTCGCTCTGCGTGAAATGAAATTCCTACATTCCGAGAAAGGGGGGAAAAAGAAAGGCAGATACGTCGTGTGCGATCGTGGGGGGGAAAAAACAAAAAAAAAAACCCCCACGCGGAGGTATATCCTTAACGACGTTTCCGTCCGAAAGCACGCGTGGAGTTCCGGCCGGAATTCACGCCGCCGGCACGCGCGAAAATTTCGCCGGGGAGGGATTTATCGGCGCCGACCGCCGACGGCGAAGGCCGCGGAGGGGAAGGAAAAAAAAAAACCCCTCGTCGAGGACGCGATCGCGGGGCACGGGTCCACGAGGACGGCGAAAAGGGGCAACGAAGGAGGAAAGGCGGGAGAGCAAAAGAGAAGAAAGAAAAAAAAAAGAACCGATGACAGGAATGTACTTACGAGTGTCATGTGGTGAGAAACCGCCGGAGCTCATTAACACCCGCTGCGACGGCAGGAACCGCGCCACGCACATCCGGAACCCGGTTCAGCCGTGGCCGAAAACATACGCGGCGCGGAACGTCGGACGACGCGACACGAACTCGCCGACGGTTTGAGGTTATATACCGGAGAGAGTGTGAGTCGGAATATAGGTGCGAGAGAGGGAGAAAGGGAGAGAGATAGCACGAGGGTGGGAGGGAAAAAGAGAGAGAGAGGGGGGGGGAGGGAGTGTTTCTTCAATCACCTGGTCGCACACATCGACGACGTAACGCGCCCAACTCGCCGCCGCGCGGTTCGTTCGCTCTCTCTCCCTCTCCCTTTCTTTTTCCTCCTCGATACACGTAGATGTATAGGTATATATACGTGCCGATTATTCGCGAAAACCGACGTAACGTCTCTCCCGACTGACCGCATGCTCGACCTGGCGACTATTCAGCGGTTGGCTTTCTTTTGTTTTCCTAGCACCCCGCATCTTTCTTCGTCGCGACGCGTGTTCCCCATCACTCGACGAGTACGGATACTCGATCAGCGGTTTAACGCGACCGCGGAGCGGCAGGCGGCAGCATGGGCGGAAGAAACTTCCTAAGTACCGAAGATCGGTGGAATGGAAATCGAGGAGAACGTGGAGAACGACCGCTGGCGAGAAACGACGATGAACGGTGAACGCGAGACGCCACCTAAGTCCAATTCCGCTTCATGAAATCTTTTAGCGAGTTGTATGATTTTTTTTTACCGTCAACGAGACACTGCGAAATATGCTCCTTCGATATATAATGTATCCTTCAGGGCGACTTCGGCGAGATCAAGTTTAATCAAACTTTAATTGACTAGTGAGTACGATTAATTAAACTTTGATCGAAGTCGTCTCACTGAGAATCGCGACCCAATCAATGTCATGTCTATGGTAAAATTGTTAACTATATGTATTTTATCGCCATATATTAATCCAATTTTTCTTTTCATATACATATACATACATATATATATATATATATATATATAAAAGACACTAAATTTTAATTAATATTTGTTTGAATAGTTTTAAGTAAATATTTACTAAATGCACAAACGTATATTTATTGAGAACTATTAATTTCGTGTAACTATATTATTTTTTATTTAATATTAAATATTTATTTACTGTAAGTAATAGCGAATTCAGTTAGTTGCACTGTGCTAGATTAATACATATTTGAAACTGTTACAACTAAATTGCAAAGTTAAATGTAAAGATTTATAAATAATTTAAATAATTAGCTATTTAATAATAGTATTGTCACGTTATTTAACAGAATATACATGTGTATTATTTTATTGTCAAAATTGATTACATCAGGCCACTGTATTTAAATACTTTATATAAAGTAGCATATTTAATATACATTAATGCAGAATAGTAATGCAAGTGATCGAACTTATCATAAACGTTTACTTAGAATACTATTTAAAAAAATATGAATTTGTACATATTGAATTAATTAAAAAAAATATGTATTAATATTTAATAAATTTTGTTACTGTATCAAATCACGAAAAGTGATTTTTATTAATTTTTATCTGTATTAATAAAATATTATTAATTATCAATTAAACGAACTGAGGTTTAGTCAAACTTTAGTCAATTTTATTGATTGTAAGGATCGCGATTCTATACTTTCTATTTAGATACATATTATAAAAATACTGCTTATCATTTTTTTAAATATCTTTGTATTTAAAGAAAGATAAAGTAGAATTATTGTATTAATAAATATAAAAGATTTCTGAAATAATATAAGAAATGTAATCCAACTGTATATCATGAAACAAGATGAAAAATACAAAAATGAGCAAATTTATTAAACGTCCAAATTATGAATATTTAGAATATTTATAATTTGAAATTATGAATATTTTAAATAAATATAGATGTAATAATGACTTCTTAATTAAAATAATAAGACAAAGATCACAAGGGTCATTATTATATTTATATTTATTTAGATAATAATTATAATTTCATTGTCAACACCTATATAGTAAATTTGCTCACTCATTTGTCATTTTCAAACAAGAGCTTCAAATTGAAACGTGATACCCTATTACGATGCGAATTTGTCTTTTAATTATCATTTTATACATAGTCATTCAAATTTAAAAAATACACGGAATTCTGTTTGATTCAATCGAGTTGTCAAGTTCAATTTGCACAGACCTTCGTACTTTAAATGCATTTGTTTTTTGGGAAAAGTATTCCTACTCCCTTTGTCTCATTATTATGTTTATAAGTATTCCAATAAATTCGCTCACTTTTGGAAGCTTTCCAGCAAGAGACGCAAATTGACACAAGAGTCATTCCGTCCTTGTTCAATAATCAGTAAGAAACAAAGACGGAATGATTCCTGTGTCGCTATGCGCCTCTGCTGGAAAGCTCCCTTTCTCATTTTCACCTAGTTTCAATAAACACAATCGACGATTTGAAATTGGCGCCCTGCGCGGTTGGTTGATGGCTCGTGCATGAATTGAATGGAGGCGAGATGAACCGAAGCGTCCGTGGCGTCCGGAACGACCGACCGCCGCTCCTACGGCGCGCGGCTCAGAGCGCATGCCCCGGGGGGTTTATTATCTTCTTTCTGTTCAAGTGCCATTTCGTTGCATGCAGTGCAGTCTATAAAACAGAATGCGTTCTCCGCGGGTCTCGAGTTTCCTATCACTTATCGTCATTCGTAGCGTATAAACATAACAGCACGCGGTCATTAGCTCTCGATTCATATTGTTTACGTATTCGTCTGGCACATGGGAGGGCGGCCGGAGCGCGGCTGAAAATCGCGTCGAACCCGCTTCGTGTGAGACGACGAGCACGTATCGCCGTTCGTGGCGTTCCCTCGAGGCGTCGTGATTACGGATATCTGGACGGGACTCACCTCGGACTTCGCGGACGCGCAAAAATGTCATCGAGCTACGCGGACGGGTTATCGCCGTACGAAAACAAAGGAGTGCTCGGGCTGGAAGAGGTAAAAAAATAATTCGGCGGGACGAGATATTTTTTTTTTTTTTCCCCTCTTTTTCCCGAAGTTTTCGGCGACGCGCGGTAAACGCGCGATGGCGTTTTGCTCCACGTCGCCAATTCCTCGCGGAGTCGAGTGACGCTCTACTTTTTTTTTTTTCTTCCATTGTTTTCTTTTTCCTTCGTTTTTTTTCTTTATTCCTTTCTGCTTGCAGAGATACGACAGCGTCGAGACTCTTCGTCTGAAATGTGGTCTCCTGGCCGAGTGGATACAAGGCGCGCGTCACGTCGTGGTCCACACTGGAGCCGGTATTAGCACTGCGGCGGGTATTCCCGATTTTCGGTGACTATCGCATTGTCATTTCTCAAGATTATGAATTTCATACCTGTCCATATCCGAGTTCACTCATGTATCTCCATTTTCCTATTCACCTTCACCTTCAAAGACTGATTTGATGTATCCTGGAAAGGAAGACGCAGAAGAATTTTTAAAGATTAAAGGAGTATGAGATTAAAAACATATTGAACAATGCTAAGTCATTATGTATTTTTATAAAAGAGGCTCCTCATACCAGAAGTATTCTAACTTTTAAAGATACTTACATAAACATACATGCTTATGTATTTTCAACTTGTCCTTATAATCTTAATATATCCCTATAATCCTTAAATCTAATAAGTACACGAAATTAAAAAAAAAAAATTAAGGAATTTAAATATGCAAATATAAAATTTGTAGTTGTTTATAAATTGAGCAAATAGAGAATTTCATAATTGGAGTACAACATATTTATTTATATCGCCAATTTGAGCGACATTCTTTTTTGTACTAGGGGTACAAATGGTGTATGGACATTGGAACAAAAGGGTTTAAAACCTTCCATGAACATCTCTTTTGATGAAGCAATCCCTACAAAGACCCATATGGCATTGAAAAAATTGATAGAAACCAGTAAGTTTTGGCAAAGTAAATTGTGAAAAATGAAAGTTTTGTTTATAAACATTTTCTTTTTCTATTTTTCTACACGATGTTTTCTTTCTTTTTTTTTTTTTAGAAAAAGTAAAGTTTATTATAAGTCAGAATATAGATGGGCTACATCTACGATCAGGAATACAGAGGCAATATCTTGCTGAGCTGCATGGAAATATGTTTACAGAGCAGTGTGACAAATGTGGCAGGTTTGTACACATACATAAAAATATGATTTCAAATATAAGGAAACAATAAAAAAAAACATAAATTGTTTAAATTTAATCAATATATTTAATTCCGCTAAAAAAAATTCAGTCCAATAAACAATAAATAGAGAAAATGAGTTCAATTATTATAGTAATGTTAGTTTTTTTGTAACAAAAATATTAAAAGTAGTAAAAAATATAAATTATTTTCCAGACAATTTATTCGAAATTTTGCGACCAAAAGCGTGGGGAAAAAATCCTTAGATACTGTATGCAGATCGGAACAAATAGGAGGGCGCCCTTGCCGTGGCCGAATGCACGATACCATTCTCGATTGGGAGCATAATTTGCCAGACAGCGACTTGACACTGTCTGACCTTCACTCCAGGTAAGTGACTGTAATATTATGTATCAACATTCAGAGTAGCAGAAATTATAATAAAATACTCGCTATACGAAGCTATTATGCGTGCAAATTTTAACATTCGTACATCAAGAATTGTATTAAAATTGTGAATGTAATAGTACACATGGTTTTAGTATGGCTTGCAGAATGTCTCAGGTTTTGTAATAAAAATTCTTGAAAATACTTATCTAAAATAGCGCGTATCATACATCTCAATATTAAATATAATGTTTACTGATGTTCTTTTAGTGTCGCCGATTTAAGTATATGTCTGGGAACGACGTTACAAATTATTCCAAGTGGTAATCTGCCTTTATATACAAAAAAATACGGAGGCCGTCTCGTTATATGTAATCTGCAACCGACAAAACATGTAGGATTATCACACGGCATAAATTTGTAAAAAGATATTATGTCATATAGATATTAATTTCATCACTAATAAAAATGTATATTTGTAGGATAAAAAAGCTGATTTAATTATCAATGGCAACGTCGACGAGGTAATGATGGCTGTCATGAATAAATTGGGATTTGAAATTCCGGAATATGAAAGCGGTATGGATCCGACACGAAATTCCGACACAACGGCTAAAGAGATGGACTGGACGATCCCGACCAGCAGAGTAAAGGAAATGAATGTGCTGTACAAAAAGGTGTGCAAACCGATGCGGAGAAAACGAAAAACGTTTATGTATGAGAGGGAGAGAACAGACACCAAAAAGGAAACTAAAGCCAGAAAGCAAGCATTTACAGTTAAGCAAGAAATCAAAACAGAAGCTAATATAACCACATCGGGTGAAATGTGTAAGACCGAGAATGATCATGCGGCTGACAACTCCATTAAGACAGAAGAAAATGCAAAAGATGTTGAAAAGTGTAGATATTCGATGGAAGACGCAACGGAGCATAATACTGATCTGAAAATGAATCAAACGGTGTAGCAAGTTTTAATGAAGTAATAATTTTCCATTCTAATATTTCGATTATTCTCAGTGTACGCTAACAGTTGCTTATGAGTGCATATTTAATGATGTTTATTATCCGTATGAAATATGCGATAGATTTGCTGATGTTCTCAATAGGTATTTGAAGCATACTCGCTGCACATTTAGTATTAAATGTGGCTCTCTGTCTTTCTCCTCTTTCTTCCTTACCTTCCTTCTCTTCCTCTGCTATTTTTCTATTTTGTTTTTGTTTACAAAGAAATATATTTTTTCGAAATGAATATTTTGATGATAATATATTATAGAATATATTACATAA